CAAAAACTTGACTCACTTCTACTGTCACTCCAGGAATTGGCCAAGTGAAACCACTTCCTAAAGTGTAGTATAGCGGGTTTGGGTTTAAATGTCAACCCAGGTCCTATATTTGATGACTACTCGGTGAATTCTTGTTATCTATCAATGAAACTTTAATGCAAGTCTAATCTACCAAACAAACAAAGCAAGTAAACTGTTGTATTCAGGTTAAGAGAGGTCACCCGGATATGGTTCCCCCTAGACTGCAGTTAAGCCGGATTGCAATTACCAAGTTCAGTTTCTATGATAGTTATACTGCGGAAGGTTCTTAAACAGCCTGAAGTCTCGACTAAAGGTCTTCAGACCCTCTCAATCTGAGTCTCTAGCGGGCGACCAACCTCCACCGGAGTAAACAGATTGAGGCCCTAACGAACAAAACCTCCACTACCGAAGTGAATTCGGTACAGAATAGTGAGTTGGCTCCTCGACTAAAGTCACCAACTCCCTACCTTCAATCAAGGATGCTCTATCAACCTAGGCAGATATTCTCATTCTAGGTTAAAGCGGAAACAACAGGAATTTGATCAGGATTCATGCCATTCAATCATTCAAACCTCAATTGAATATAATCAAATCATCGAATCAGTACTTGGGTTCATACAATCAAACCTAACATACAAATCTAGGGTTCTCCATACCCAGATGAATGGGAGAACTACTCCATGGAGAAAGAGGCAAAAGCAGAATCAGACGCGGAATTCATATTGTGAAGGATGGATTCCTGCTCCTGGACGTTGATTGGCACTCCTCCAAGCTCAAGCCAAGCTCCAATGGTGATGAAGATCAAGCTAGGGCACTTGGAGACTCTTGTTCGTCGCTTTCTCTCTCTAGGAATCGCTCTGTCTCTCTAAAACTCGAATCCCCTTCTGTTTTGGCTGAAATCTGCTTAAAAGGGCATCACTGGGCAAAACACGGTCGAGGGCACAGCCGTGTTTTACCTCAGCCCGCCCGTGCTTTGGCTAGGGTTAATTACACGGCCAGCCTGTTGGGAGAAACACGGCCGTGCTTTTGGGTGGACACGGCCGTGCTTTGGTGGACACGGCCGTGTAATTTCTCAGCCCTGCCTGTGTTTTCAGCTCGTGTTTGCCAAACTCAAATCAGCTCTTGGCAGTAAAAGCACGGCCTAGGAACACGGTCGTGTTCTGCTTTAGGTGTGCCCGTGTTTTGGATTCAGCTTCACCGAATGACTTCCGAATGCCCCGAAACTCGTGCTTAGCCTTTCCTTTGACGCCTGGGACCTGAAATATGACAAAATAGCACAGCCCGACGTAAAATAGGCCAAAAATACACGACTATGCCCCTCAAACGGATAAGAACTAGGGGCGCAAATATGTGCAATTACATCGTTATCAGGGAGCTCACATTCGAGCTACTGGGCAGCGTGGCATAAGCAGCCCCAGACGTGGAACGAGAGCCACTATCACGAGACCCGCCAGCTCTCGATCTCCGACGTTGAGCAAGCGTGGGACAAGCCGCAATGAGATGCCCTTCGAGTTTGAAATAATTGCAGGTGTTGCGACGAGGAAAATGGAACTGTATATGGCCCGGTTCCTTGCAATGATAGCACACAATCTCACCCTTAGCCGTACGGTGAAATTGAGGTTTAACAGTACCTGCGGACCTCCCAGCTCCAAGCGCAAAGGCTGCCCCCGGTTCGGTTGAGTGAATGTCAAGCTTTGCTTGACTCTTAAGTCGTGTTTCTTCCCGGAGCAACTCAGCAAGCACATCCTCCATAGTAGAGACATTGCGATGCAAGAGGGATGCCCGTATCCCCTCATATTCCGGCCGTAGTTGCATAAGAAAACGCATAACGCGAGAACTGGTACGTTCAAGTAGCATGTCCGACGTCGCGGGAGATGAAGCCAACGAAGCCAAGATCAAGTCTTGCTCCGTCCACAAAGTCACCGCCTCCTGATAATATTTGCTGATATCCATGTCCCCTTGGCGCTAAAGAGCTAGAGCTTGCTCAACCTCAAACTTACGAGAACTACTAGCTTTAGAATAAAGCTTCCTCAAGTGATCCCACATTGCAGCAGCAGTATCAAAACCCCTCAAACTAAGGGCAATGCCCGGATCGACAGAACCCAGGAGAGAGGCCATAACCTGGGCATTATACATAGCCCAATCCTCCTTTTCTTTTGACGAAGCGGTCTCGGCTGGCGCAGCTGACGTGCCGTCAAGAACAGAAAGAAGGCGCCGACCTTGAACATGAAGGCGAAATTGAAGTTCCCATAAAGCATAATTTTTACCATTGAATCGGACCGCAATCACATCATTCTTCGTCGAGTCCTCCATGATAACCCTCACTGCAGAAATACCCAAACCAATATCACAGCAACCTCACAAAACCAAGAACCCACAAATCACGTAGAGAAAATCCAAAGAAGAACAGCCCCGATCGCGGAACAGAGAACCACAAAGCAAAACCCAGCAACCCTAGAACCACAAGCAAATCACGAGAAGAAGACGGGAGGCTCTGATACCATGTCAATCGATACGAGAAAAGAGAGAACACGAGACGAGAGTTTACGTGGTTTCCCCAACGTGATCTTTGGGACTAGTCCACGGCACAACGGCAGAGTACGTTCTTATTTTCTGTAGTTGTTAACTGTACATCATGACCTCTCAACACTTATATACGGCCATAGCTACTAACCCTAAACCCGGACAATTACAATATGGTACCCATACTTCTAACAAAGAGAAGTGCCAGTTAAACTCACATGCGGGGCCTCTTGTGGCTTTGAAGCTTGATTCTTCTATTCTACCTGAAACCTCTATGTTCACTGTCGCTGATTCTCCTCTAAACTGCTAGTCACTGCCGTCGCAAGAGTTTTTAAGTAGGGTTTTTAATTTTTAATTTTCAATGACTTCTTTAATGACAACATCTAACACCGATTTCAGGGGAGATCTTCGCATCGCATCGGTCCCTGTATTTAGAGATTGATGTTTGACTTTTATTTTAATATGAACTTGTCATTGTAAATATTTTACGACAAAAACCCATGGGTACCCATGAACCCGCGGATACCCACCGGGTTGGGTTGGGTTTGAGTTTTCCAAACCCAGTGAATTTTACCCCAGGTTTTTTCACGGATAAACCCATGAATTTGGGTTTAGGTTTGACAAAACCCGACCCAACCCGACCCATTATCATCCCTACCACCAATGATGCTCTGTAGCTAGGGATGCAAATGAGCCGAGTCGAGTTTTCCTTAGCTTGAGCTCGGCTCGTTAACAAATGAGTCGAGTTTGAGCTCGGCTCGTTTATTAACGAGCCGAGTCGAGTTTGAGCTCGGCTCGTTTATTAACGAGCCGAGTCGAGTTTGAGCTCGGCTCGTTTATTAAGGAGTTTGAGCTCGGCTCGTTTATTAACGAGCCGAGTCAAGTCGAGTTGCGAGCTAGCTTGCTTAATAAAATTTTGACTCCTATTTGATATATTCGTTTTGCATGTAATACATGATAAGTGTTCAATATTAACTAATTTGATGTTATACTTTGTGGTATCATATTATTTAGTTAATACATTTTAATTTGTGAAAATTATGTTATTTTACAATATCGAAGCAATATATGATACATAATTGCTTTTTAAAATTAATAAAACATATTTGCTCACATAATCTACATGTTAAACTTCATATAGAGTGAGATATATAATTTAACAATCCTATGAATTATCAAAATCAAACTCATATAGATCGATTCGCTCATAACTCGGTAATCGAGTTGGCTCTCTAGGCACAATCTTGAGAGTTGAGACATCTCATAAGCTCTTAACGAGGAAGCTCACGAGTTGAGCTCAACAAGCCACTTAGTTTAGCTAACTCACGAGCTTCACGAGCTGCAGAATGCTAAGCTCAAGCTCGACTCATTAATAAATGAGCCGAGTTTCGAACGAGCTTTTCCCGAGTCGAACGTCGAGCCGCTCGCGAACAGCTCGGCTCATTTGCAGCCCTTCTACCTCTTCCACTTCAATAAATCAATTATTCATTAAAGAAAACATGCCCTCTTGCTCGACTACGAATGTCATAGTTCTTTAACTTCAAATTTTTAACTCCTCGCATTCAGATTTCTAATTTTCTCACTAGCGCGTGTTATGATTATGTGAAATTTGAGACCAAATCTCATAAAAATGGCATGCTTGATAGTTTTCCGCAAAACCCGTTTCTTGACTTTAAGGGGTGGTTTGGTTATTGTGATAATTTGATTGGGATAGTTACAATACATGCAATGTTTGCCTCCTCGGGTGGATTCCTCCTTTTGCTATCGTTTTTTTTTTTTTCTGCACAAAGAATACATGCATTTTTTGTTTGATGTGACACAAATTAAACTATCACTCAAAATAAGTGATAGTTAAATCTCAAGGTTTGGTTGAGATTGTTGAAAATGTTTGATTGGGATTGTTGTGTTTTTTTATAAAAAAAAATCAAGGAGTGAAAATGACATTTCACCCATAAAGTAATATAATTTATTTAAACACTACAATAACTATCACATAAACCAAACAAGGGAGGAGTTACGATGCTAATTGTACAATAGTTAACACCGTCCTAATCAAGGGAAAAACTACTACTAATTTGAATTAGTAGTGATTTAGTTTAGATGTTGTATTGATTTTATAATAATCTGTAGTGATTTCGTTATTTTTAGTAGCGTTTTTTGCTAGTTATCACGGTGCTAACCCTTATAAGGGTTAGCACCTAATCCCATCCCACCAAACAACATAAACTACAATACACCAATTTTCTTATATACATGTACATTATTATGCATGTATTATTGATTACAATGTATTGATTTAACTATCACCAAAACCAAACTACCCATAAGAATATTGGTTAGCCAGACGGTCCATTGGGATATGAAGGTGAATGCTACGTGAGTGGCTGTTAGATTCCATACTATGGGGAAACTACGGTACGCAAGTTTGAATATTCTTCAAGTCAACAGCCTCTTCTCCAGGCAAGCAAATTTTGTTTGGTTCCCCAAAAGCATTAGTGGTACCGTGTGTCCTACGTCTCTGACGAGTCATGCAGGAAGACTGAATGACTAGTAACAGTGACGAGGATGGGCAGGGTGACTCCCCGTTTCTGCAGAACCTGATATCGATCTGAAGCACAGTCAAGTCTTTCATCGACAAGCCAACTTGGCGTATCGATACCGACACTAGTACGAGTGAATGAATAACATCATATGAAATATAAAGATAGTAAGTTCAATACTTTCCAGAACATCAAGCAACTTCAGGGAGGAGATATCTTCTGACACAAGACATTTCGAACCCTCGAGAAGATCTGACATTGCAATTTGCAAATAGCCTGACCAAAGGAGTGGCCTAACCGAAGTGTTCTTCGTGATATAGCAGCCAATATATAGCTAGCATGAGTGACTTAGCATCTCCTCTTTCATTCCCTATGATATCACCTGCACTAAATTCTTCAGGAACTCAAAATGTTCCAACTCTGGTCCATAAACCGAGGCAAAGGAGCATCGAATTTGAGGCTTTTCAGCCGCGAGAAATCATAGTCACCACGTGTTTCGATGTCTTCCAAAGCCTGGAACACATCAGGTAAAACCATTTGCCTGCAGTGGAGATGTAACCGTGGAGTTTTATCAGATACACTTCCATTTTCCAAATCAAGCCCCAATGGAAGCCTTTTCTTGTCCACAAGTTCCCCACTAGGGTCACTCTGGAGATTGAACTGTGACAACTGCTTCAGTTTCCTATGAGCTTGCCAACCATACTTGAAATCCCCTACTAGAGGAGTTCCTAGTACTTCAGCACAGTGTACCCTAATCTGAGGTAAGAAAAGAAGAGCAAGGAGAAAGTGAATTGAGCGAAAAGTGAAGGAATAGCCATGAGACAGCCATGCAGTAACACACATAATGAGATTTCAATCGGCAAGCATACCTGATGCTTTCTTCCAGTGAGAGGGCAAAGCTCTAACCAAGTATAGCCTGCACCAAATAACAGATACTCAAGCCAAAGAGCCTGTAATATAATGAACTTTGGATAACTCGAGTCCTCGTAATACGCTTGATATAGTATATAATGACGCGAGAAATTATACTAACCATGAGAAGATGCTTTAATTACTTTGTATTGTGTTATGGCATGCTGAGAGGAAGTGTTTTCAGGATCTTCAATTACGGTTACTCTGTCAGATTTTCCATCATCCAAAACCACCTGAAACCATAACGTAATTGAGATTTAGAATGGTGAGTTGCAAGCCCAACGTTGTCAGTCCTAAAATTTTGGTCATATTGTAAAGCATGGAGGTGATATTCAATGGAATTTTGAGTAACATATGATATATTCTAAGAACAAAAGAGCTAGAAACAAGGCAAATTTGTCATCTGTAAAGGTGGAAAAGGTAAGATTAACATTCCAAATCCATCCTAAGTTAAAGCACCAAGTAAATAAAAAGGCTGTTACAACTTATTATCTGCATCATGTTATAACCTTTCCAAGGCGAGCTGAAACGATCCCATTTGCATGTCTTGGTGATCCAATGACTAGCGCCCAGTACCTTCTTTGCAGGATTCTTCTTCTCCTACCGGCATCCTTCAAGATCAAACCCAGCCTTTTTCAATCATTAAGAGAGATAACAATTTGCTATGCTTTGACAACTCGTAATGAAAATAAAATTGAAGGTAAGGGAATACATGGCGTAGATAGTAAGTTCTCCACCTTGTCTGGTGCTGCAAAAGTTTTCTCCCTGAAAATGGAATGCAGAAATGTCGTGCTTGCTTGTGTCCTTCCCATTACCAGTATCCCACTGCTATCTCTGTCTAGTCTATGAACCTAAAAACATTCACCAAGCTAAGGCTTCACATACTCAACATAAAAAGCTACAAAAAGATACCGCTGAGAAAGTCAATATAACTTGACTTGTATCATGTCAGTACAGTGTTTTAATCCTAGCACCCTACAACCAATAAATAGTAAAGATTCATTGATGGTTGTTCAAAAGTATAGATCAAGTAGCATGCGATGTCCTCTAGGGTCCACTAATGTTTAAGGAACAATCTCTAACAATGAACTAAACTTCCAAAGGAGTTGATTTAGGCAATTGAAATCAAAATCTCACCAGACGAGGGGGCTCTGAGTAGTCGTAACTTAAACAAGTTGCAGATAATTCATCCAAGCTTCTCTTGATGCCAATGCCACCCTGATGGTTAATGCATCAAAAGGTGAGACTCAGCAAGAAAGAAATGGAGAAATGAATAAAACAAGTTGTCCATGAGCTTCTAAAGCACCTAGAAACAGCAAGGAAAGAACATATATCTGGTAATTCACCTGAACAGGCAGACCTGGAGGCTTATTGACTACAATAATTGCTGGATCCTACATCCGTCCAAATCGTCAATTTCTACATAAGAATTCAATTAACTCAAGAGTATTTTGAAAGTAAAGTTCGAATAAAAAACCTTATAAAGCACAAGGGTACGAATAAACTCCACTTCTTCTTCACTGCAATGCAACTCCTTCTCAGTCACCGATACATTAACTGAACCAGGGAGTAATATTTTGTCCCCTACATTCATTGAATCCTTAGCTGTCACCTTCCAACATTTTGAAGCTTCAAACTTTCAGAACATACCAAGCTCCAGAAAACAGATATCAAATCCAATACAAATCGGATGCTTACTCTTTTGACCTGGCCCTCCTGAGCTGATTCTCTACGGACCTGTTACCAATAGCGAAAATTCACCATTCCGAAAATCAGATTCCTTCACATCAATTAGACCCAAAAATCAAGGTAGCCAGGGAAAGGGAAGTAACCTGTCTTAGCCGGAACAGCTTCTGCACGAGGTTTCTGGGGAGCTCAGGGCAGCACCGGAGGACCCATTTGAGTGCCGTGGTTTCGGTGGATGCTTTCCCGGCGGTAGCTGCGGAGGATAGTGCTCTCCCCGCAGCGGTGCCGTTCACCGTGGAACTGAAAGGTGGCAGAATGAACCATTTCCCTGTCTTACCACTATCGATTGCGCTGTCTTGCTGTTGGGATTTGGGAGAACACTCAGCAGTGGTTGGGCAGAGAGATCGAAGTAATTGACCGGCGGCTGTACAGCACATTTTGGCGGCAAAGTTGGCGAATGTGGAAGACGGTGGCTCGCGGCCGAAGAGATGGAGGTTCCTCATGAAGACGAATGTTTTGAGTTGTTTTGGCTCCGGAGATAGATTGGGAAAACAAGGGGAAAGGGAAGAAGCAGGGGAATCTGTCGGAAGGGTTGAAGAAGGGTTTAGTGAGCCGGTGGGAAGTTAGGGAATCATCATGTCTCCGATGGCCGGTTTGAGTTATCATTTTGGGCTGTTGGGAGCAACATTTGGGCCCGGACCATACATTAGTGGGCTTCTGTCATCTTCTGCTTTCAGGGGGCACGGAATATGTTTTGACTTTTTGAGTGATATAAAACTAATGAAAAATATAAATAATTACAAAAGAATATTAGAGAGAGAAATACACAAGACAAGAGAAGAGAGGGGAAGAGTTCTTCTTATTTGTTTTTCACTTTTGATATAATAGTGTGCTCTAGGCACACTTTGGTAACCACTACATCCTTATATCAATGCATATGAATAAGAGATAATGATGTAGGAATAGGGCTTACATGTAACTCCCAAGTGAGCATCTAATGTGGTAGGTCATTGATCATCCATATATCAATAATTACATAATACGCCCCCTTGGATGACCACTAGATTGCATTACGCTATCTCATATATGCTCCCCCTCATGACCACATCACTTCAAATCTTTGAGTCCTTGAACTCAAATTTTACGAACAAATTTTAGAAAGATTGTTGTCGGGAGTGAGTTAGTGAACAATCTTCTATATTGTCAATTTGATGTATGATCTTTAGATTTTCTTCATACATGATCGTCAAGAGCATTTTTTTTTTTTTTGAAATAGTTCACAACCACAAGTCCTTTAGATATGGTGGATCACAAAGTGTAACGAAGTACATTCAGGACTTGCCTATTATAGTTTGTTTTGTTTCTCTATGAAACAGTTATATCACCATATTACGAGATAGCTCGTCTCCGATCAACCATTATGAGGATCAAATGGTATATATATAGGATTTGGATATATAGTTCACCAAATATCTCTTTGATAATACCATAATAGAACAATCACATATATTGTTCCTGAAGGTAACAAAGTATTTTCAATGTTCCATTGTGGGAAACATTGTATTTTGCTAATATTATCAACACCAAAATGATATTTTGTATGGCGCTCTAATGCATCAACATATGGTACTTCAGGACCTTATACATCAACACATAGTACTTCAGGACTTAATGTTTTACTTCTTTCTTGATGCCTAAATGGATCTTTGGTCACTTCTAGTGATCTTAGGATCCTAGTGTTATTTGATGAACATAATTTGTTCATGCAAAATTACTTTTCCACTTTTTCAACATTGCCTTCCTTGCCCAAAAAAAAGACTTTAAATCCTTCAATTTAACTTATGTCTCTAAACAATCAACTGCTTTAGGAAGCTCTTCAAGAGCTCCAATAATATTCATATCATCAACATAATATGAGATCGTCACAAAGAATTGATGCAAGGAATTCTTTCATATCACGAAAGATAATAACAAAACTCACATCATAGAAACAATATGAACTCGACAAAGAACACTCATAAAACAAAAATCATAATTTAAAGTAAACACAACACATAAACCAAGAATTTAAAATCCTTGAAGCACATACAGACAACACAACTATATATGCACAATGCAAATGCTCTAATGCAATCTATCCGGATTTAACCTTTTAAGGTCCATTCACCCTACTGTTGTAGATGTTCACTTAGACGAGTATTTCACATTCGTCTATATTGTCTCAACCCATACAAGGGATATTCTTAGTCTAACGATATATGTTCTCGAGAAATTTACTTATTTACTTCAGGTAAATTAATCCTTCTAGGAGTAATTAATCATTCTGGGAGTTTCAAATATATATAACATCTTCAGGGAATTCAAATAAATAGGCTATCACAACAATTTTCAAACATTGATTTGAAAAAGTAGTTGCATCCATCACAGGGGAGCATAACTCCTCTTAAACAATGATAGGTATCTTCGAGAAACCCATTGCAAAACATTGTGCGATATCTCTCACAATTTCATACTTTCTAATAACACAAAAATTTGTTTGTGTCCCGCTATTTTTACCTTTTTCAGGTATAAGGACTTCTGGTCCTCAAAACTTTTTGCTCTTTGAGCAAGTTTCGTGATTTCTTTCTATATTGGCCAATAACATCATCATTTGAATGCATCAATAGAGTTTTACTCTTGATCCTCACTTGTATATATCATATTCAGTACTGAAGTACAACAAACAAATTTCGTCGACAATGACTTCATTACGGTCCCAGTATTGTAGTCTAATATGTTTTTGAGATCTCTTCGCTTTCACAACTTTCAGAGACATGTGTTCTTCTGGAACTAAAATTATACTTTATTCTTCGTTACTCTTCTTGAGTTTTCATGTCCTCGAGTTGACCATTCTAATTACAACTTCTTTTCTTTCTCGATGATGTTTATCATCGGAACCGATTGGTCTATCACGCTTGATGCGCTCTTTTAGACACATTTATTATATTAGAGTATCCAACATGGATATCAAATTTAGTTGGAGCATTCACAGCTAGTATATGTGACTTGGTCACTTTATATGGCCAATAAAGGCATTTGATAGTTGGTAATGATAATTCATCTTATGAACTTCAGGTTCATGTTCCTTACTTTGAGCATCAAAACTAGATAATGATAACTCATTCCAACTCATCTCTTTGTCTAGCTATTTTTTCTCACCTCCTTAATGCTGGAAAAGTGTTTTATCAAAACAATAATTTCGCAAACAAATCTCCCATTTGGGATTCATACCCAACACAAATTCTCAATTTTCAACGAGAATCAACTTAAGATACTGTGGTGGAGCAATTGGGGTGTATGCGGCACACCCTGATATTCTCATATGTTAGGTTTCTGACCGAAACCATTTGTAAAAGGGGGAAAACTTATGATAGCTTGTTGGTTAGATGCGAACCAATACTATCACTTGCCAGCTAGCATGTCCTCGACAAGAGACCAGAAGACTCAGCTTGTTCTCTTAAGCAAAGTGGTGTTTGATTGGATCACCATCAAAATGTATCCATAGCTAGTGAGGCAACCAATCTCGTAAATTGCGATGAGATAAAATACATGTGATCATCTATTTGATACATCAACTCAACTCATAAAATTCACAAATGATCCACATGACTGATGTATTGTTCTGCATACACGTCCATAAAATCTCAAGAGATTTGCCAACTCTTTTACAAGCGATGATCGATTGTTCTATTCTCCTTAAGAACAAACATGGGATAATAACTCTTTTAATTGAAGAGTTCTTTGACTTCTCATATGATGTTCTCATGAATTCTCAAAGAACGTTTTTCACATCAAAGATCCAGGATGGTCTAACCGGACCAACCAATTATCAAGTTATCAAATCTTGTAAGCTTATGGTTTATAGTTTTATGTGTACAGATAGTACTAATATATCACATAAAGCATTAGCTCTTCTAGAGCTTTTACATACTTTGGTACTAAATTTTACCCATGACTTAGTGTGACGTCACAATATTTGTTTTCGCTCATATACAAGTTAGTTACTTTAAGTAATCAAAACATAAGCTCTTCCGGAGCTTTTACTTACTTTTGTAGTATATGATATAATACGAATATATATTCTTGTAAATATTCATGCTTCATAAGGACATTTATACTAAAAACAATGAGAATATCTATACGTTAAGATATAAGTAATAATGTAACTAATTTTTTATTAATAAAATAAAAGAATTTTTCGTGCAATAAAACATAATAAAGAAAACAAGAATTAATTTTGAAATTAATCAATTAGTACCAAACTTGAATAGTATTTATTTTGAATATTACCATCACCAACTAGGTGACCACATTTACCTTCAGGATTGATAGAGAAATATATATGTGTTTCACTTCACATTTCAACGTATGATAGGTACTAAAATATTATAATGACTTTCGCTATTGAAAAAGTCGTGATTGACATTCTCATTTGTGTAATATTTTTCACTTTCTCACTTTCTAGAATACCTTCTCATGGAACAAATAAAATAGCTTCATTCACTTTCGTGAATGAGATAACCTCTTTTGATCAAATTAATTAAATTTTTTGAAAAATACACTATCTTTAGAGGATAATAGATAAGCTTGTAATGTATACAACTTCTTTCGTAATAGTGCTACTACAGGAGCACATATGAATTTTCTTTTCCTCATCCTTGGTAGATCTGTTTTGGCGTACAACTGGTACGGATCAATGAACTTTTCTATCACAATGGCAATGCCTATTTTCAATATTTTATTACCATGTCCACTTTGTTCCTCCATTTTTCCACTACTGGGAAAATATGTATGATTGAAACTTTCATTTTCCAACAAATACAATGTAGGATTTCAGAAATCAACCAATAATTGATAATAACTTTTTTATGATATTGCTACTAGGTGAGCAATTTTTCTTTTATGATGGTGCAATAGGCACAAACTTTATTTTACAAAAGTAACATATACAATAATGTAATGGGTAAATTGCACGGTTGGTCACTAAGATTATTGAAAACGTTCATGTTTGGTCACTGGAAATATTTAATTCTATCAGTGGTCATTGAGATTACTTAAACCGTTCAGCTTTGGTCACTCTCCGTTAACTTTCGTTAGTCTCCGTTAACAACGTCAGTTTTTTGCTGGTGTGGCTAACAAAAAAGCCTAATCAGCCTATATTGACCCACCACGTCATTGAAACAAACCACATAAGATAATCCACCCAACCCATAACCCAACCCTTCTTGACCAACCTAGCCTAAGAAAATATCTACCTCTTCTCTCTCCACCCCTCCTCTGGTTGTCACAGTCCTTCCATCCTGGAGCTTAATTGCCACACATCCCTAGCCGTCTTCCCAACCTCTGCCGGTCGCACTTCCCTCGTTGGATTCCCAACCTTTACTCCTCCCCCTTTCATCTTTTCTTCTTCTCTTCTACTCCTCTGACAAAAAATTGCAGAATCAATTCCTTCCAACCCACACATCCTCCATCGGCCGGAATCCTTTCTTAACGCCCTTCAAAATGAAAGTCGCGTGTTCTCGCTCGTATTCCACGCTTTACAGCGCCTGCCGCAACGCAATCGAAGGGGTCGGAAGGACCACATCTGCTAGAACCCCACTCCGAGCCTGGCAGGTCGGTCGTTTTCTTTGCCCTCACCTTAGCGTCCCTCACGCACATCCTCATCAACGCGTTCACTACAGAATACGAGGA